CTTTTCAGAGACATTAGTCAAGTTATTCAAGTGTTAAATGGTTTGAAACAAATATCGATTTTTTTTTAGAAGTGCCAGAAATATCTGTTAACTATTTAACAATGTCGTTCTATTTCCCTTAATCTTGGAAAACTGAACAGCCCCTTAATATGGAAAAACACAAAGAGACAAGTTCCTCACTGACATTTCACATCTATCACTAGATTGTAATGGACATAAATCTTCATATCATCTGACACAATTATTAGAAAGCCATAACACATCTCCTAGAAACATAAATACAATTTATATTTTTAAGCCAGTTTACTAAGATGTTCACTCATTAGTTGAAACAATAATACAATATATTGTTTCTGATTTATATATGTAATTTAGCACATTTGCTTGGAACTAAGTCCCATTGATTTTTGTGGGAATGAATTCCAAAAAGGACAGTGATCCTAATTAGATTTAAAAGTGTTGTAATGGAAACAGATCTAAAATTCTTGCTGGGAGGGAAGTGTCAACAAGGGAAGTTGGTGGGGAACATGATGGCATTGGGAATGACTAAGATGTCCCTCCTACTCATACTTTCTTCCCTTGAAATATTTCCCTGTTGGATTCATTTTGCAAATGAGGTAGAGACAGGATGTATCATTCTGCCAGAAAACTGTAATACCAATTGCTTTTATCTAGATATTCCTCTGACTGAAATTAACCTACCTTAATTCTAAGGCTTAGAAGCTGTTTAATTTCAATAGGGGTAATGTCTAGATAATTATGCTTACCATCTGTTCTTAACCTTATTTACTTAGAATTTAATCCTAAATTCTTTATTTAAATTTTAGGTGAGTGTGAAAATGAATGTAGAGTAAGAAAGCTTTTTAATGACCAATAGCTTTTTAAAATGGTACAAACAATGTTATATGGTATTTAGTATGGTACATAATATAGGAAGCAGCCTTTTAAAAAAGATCTGAACAATAGATCCCTAGAAATAGGAGTGTATAAGAGAATGTTTCTGAGGAGGAATTCAAGAGATAACTCAAATTAAAGATGAACATTACTGGTCCCCAATCTCTATTTTGTGTATGTCATAAAGAACCATAATGATTAAAGTCTTCTTCTGGGGATAAAAAGGAGACCCTTTTGCACTGAGATCTAGAATATTTAAAATGAAAAAGCATTCATTTTGGGACATGTATAATGCCAATTTGAGTGTTATTAACTGGGCAACAGGGCAAATAAAAGTATCTTTTTATTATGAAAAACAGTCTTGTCTTTAAAGGGATTAGGAACGATTGACATATAGAGTAAACTTCACTCAAATGTATTCCAACCATAACTGCCCTTGATGTTGTACTTAAGTGATGTCATGTCATCTCCAACTCATGGAGACCCTGTGAATGAATGCACTTCCAAATGTCCTGTCCTCGACAGCTCTGTTAAGCTCTTGTAAACCTAACTGCCCCAGTTCAGCATTTTCTGCCATGTTAAAAGACATAGTTTAATGGAATCAGTGTCCAATCCCTCCCAACCCCAGAAAAAGCGTTTAATTCAGCAGCAGTACAGAGTACAAACTCATTTATTAACAACAACAAAAATTAAATTCCAGTTTCAGTTGATCAAATCTATCATCATGGCACTATTCATTTCAGGAGCAGCAGGATTTTGCAATACATGGTATTAATCTGTCTCTGGAATTATCAATAGCAAATCCAGATAAACCCAGCTGGACCTCTGGACCATACATAGCACAGAAAACATACATTCCACTTTTTACTGGTAAGAGTTTGGTTCTTTCTGTGTTCTGCTGTATATATTTAAATACACCCAAGAATCAGGAAATGATTTTATAAAGCAACATCTTTGACACACGTGGGCTTTCATGTGGTGATACACTATGCAGCAGAGGTCTGTGTCTGCGTACTGTTGTTTTCAGGTGTATGCAAGTACCTAGCAATCCTGGATCAATAAAATGTATATGCAGGTCTGAATAAAAGCTTGTGATAATGACTGAGGAAGGCTGGATCCACATCTCCAAATAGATGTGATGTCAATCCTTACTGACTCAGCTACTTGGCAAGGTTGTTGTTGTTTAGTCATAAATTTGTATCTGACTCTTTGCAGCCCCATTGACAGCATTCCTCCAGGTTAGCCTTTTGATACTGTCCATTGGGTTTTCATGGAAAGGATACTGAAGTGGGTTGCCATTTCCTTGATAATCTTACTTGGCAAGGGTCACATTACTAAATAGGGGAAATATGGTGTTATTGCTGAGTGAATTAGCTATTTGGCAGAGTGCATGCGACAATTCCCAGCCCACTTCCAACTACCATTCATGCTGTATTGGTGCAAAATGTGGAAGGCCATTACTGAGACAATGAGCAAATGTTTCCAATCTCTATGGGCACAGATACCTGTTTTGGCAAGCCAATTTAACTTGATAAGTGCTTTAACATGACAATGCCCTGTCATGTCATGCAAACTTTATCAATGACTACAAAAGTCTTTGATAACTTCTAAAAGTTCTTTCAAATACAGATAAGTAATATTGGAATTACTTATGTGAACTACAAAGTATAGCTAAATTATCCTTTGCACAAACTAAAGGTTTGCAAAAGTCTAGAGTTTACAGTTGTTTAAGAAAATTGTTATGAGTCGTAACAAAACGTTAAGCTCTTTCGCAAACCCTTTGAGCATTTCAGTATATTTTATATGAATGAAAGTAATCCTGTTGGACTTAAACCAAAAGTTTGCACATAATGTAAAATTATGCCTATAGACTCTGTCACAGGCTCACTAAATTTCTCTTAGACATGCCACCATCTTCAATATCCAGAAAATGGTGGGGTTCATACAGCACATTAAACCCCATGGGAACCTTAACCATGCACTGTTGTCAAAATTTAGGGTTGGCCATGGCTTTATTTATGTATAAATACTAGACTGAAAGAGGTAAGGTTTTGGTGAATCTGGGAAGTTCCCCCCACCACCAAGGATGTCCAGTTGTACCTTGGGGAAGATCTGCCCATGATTGCCAACTTTTTAAGGAATATAACTATATTGTATATGTTAAATACTTTGAACACAGGCTGAAGTTTTATATGAATACTAAAAATTATTACTAAATATTACATGATGGTGAAATGATAAGCTAACATTGTTCAGAAAGTCCTTAAAAGACATTATTAAAATGAATTATTTTGGAGGAGTCATGCTTTAGAAGGTTCATTTGTGGCTTAGTAGTTGTTGCAAAAGAGAAACATATCCATGCTTTCTTCCATGCCAGAAAACTTCTTGAATGTAGGATTACCTGGTGTGCTTGAAACTGACAGAGACCTACTCAGCCTGTTTATAGTTCCAAAACTGTAATATCTAAAAGCAGACCTTAGAGATTTGGGCCCCCTCACACACGCCCACCATTTGTTTTTGTTGTATTTCTACTTGCTTGGACTGTTATTTGGGCTTCTACGACCTGCTTGTGCAACTTTGTTCCAGCCCCATCTCAGGGATCCTCCTAGCACAACAGAGCTGCCTGTTCCCAAGTCCTGATTTTCATCAGCCACAGCAGGTCTTCCCCCTCCTCCACAGAATGACTCAGCCCTGTCCACTCCTCAGCTGTTATTTCCCAGCCACACTTTTCTACCTAGTCAGACTCCCCAGCCATTCAAAGCTGAATTTGGGTGATCTAGTGCCCATAAACAAATATTAAAAGCGACCCCCCCTCTCTCCCCACCCCCACATCAGAACATCACTAAGCAACCACTGCACAGGCTTTTGACTGTAAGAGACCAAGGCCTCTCATAGGCCACACAGCCTACACATTACAGTACATATACAATTACATATACATTATGTATCTTGTTTGTTTATTAGATTTATATCCTGCCCCTTTAGCCAAAATAAATCTCATTTCTTCACAACACGTCTACTCAAAAATAAGCACAATTGGTGTTGATGAGGCTTATTCCCAGGGAAATGTGTATAAGGGGACAGCTTGTCCAGTTAGAGGAATGTTAGGAGTTATCAGATATTTTTCTGTTTAAACATGCACAGGATTGTACCTTTAATTTATTGATCAATTATATTTGCATATGAGTAAAGATAACAGGATGGATAAAGGTTAGTCATTGAATTTGCATCCCACTGAGATCCATAGGGCTTAAGTCATTACTTCCTTGCCCCATCCATGCCAAAGGGGAGTAAGTTCAACTAATTTTGTCAACATTTCTATAGCATGAAAATTCATACCTGCATATGCATACTTGTTATTCAGGAAAAGGGAGAATGCCTTTTCCAAGATGGTATTCACCAGCATTTGTATTTTTAATAAGAATTTGTGTTTGAAACATCAAATTTCCTTTTCAAAGCTTTCTGAGTTTTTTAGTCTATACAAAGTGTGCGTTTATGTTTTAATAGAGTCATCTAGCCAATTAATTCATTACTTAGTTAAGGCTGCAATCCTACACACTTGCCTGAGATGAAGTCCCAGTGAATTCAGCAGTAGTTGATTCTGAGCAGCATGGCATGGGTTTGCATGCAAATGTCACATTGCATCCTTACCTACCTCTCCCTGTCACACCAGCACAAGAGGGCAGGGGAGGGAATGGTGGCTGATCCCACTTCAGTCTGCAGCTGGAGGGGCATATTTTGGGAGGAACATAAGCTCCACATAGGTTGTAAACTAACAGACCAAGGAGAGGGGCTAGGATAAGTCTTTCCTCATATGCTATCTAAATATATGCATATATAGTATTGCTAATGAGGGATGCAAAGAAAGGCAGGCAGGCAGGCAGGCAGGCAGGACTGTACTGGTTCTGACCAGATTTTTCACCCAGTTGGGTTTCCAGTTTGGTTCTAAAAGGAACAAGTTGATGCAGCAGGCATGGAGTGAGGGGAGGGATAAAGCGCAAGGGGAAGGATAAGGAGCCCCGATTTCTTACTGAAGCTCCTTAAGAAAAAGATATATAGCTGACTCACCTCCTCTTTTTCCTCCCAAAGAGACAGACATTGCAAAAATGAGCCTAGAAACCTTGTTTCAGCAAATCCTTCTGACGGAGCAGAAAGCTGAGGAGAAGCGATACCTCATGCACCAAGGTTGGTGATCATTCTTAGGCTATTTGAGGTGAGGAGATATGACCAAAGGGGTCAGTAAATTTGATTGTATACATTTCAATTGGATTTTATTGTACCAGCATAGCAGCTGTCAGTGCTGTATCCCCCACTTCTGCTACTTCAGAGCAACAAATACCTCACAGGGTTGTCCCAAGGCATTACGAATACAGCACAGGTAACTTTAGCTGCACCCTAGACTTCAGAGTAGGACACAACAGAACATTTCACTAAGAAACAGAGATAAAAGCAATGATGCCATAAAATAAATTTTGTTGTGCTGTTTCCTGCTTGTAAACAACAACAACAACACACACATTTGATCCAGAGCTGAGCAATGTATGTTTATGGAACTGGAAAATGAACCCTTTTCCCTTTAGTCACAAAAAGCTTCTGCCTAACTCAACCAGCTCTGACTTTAACCTCCAGAGTTGACCTCATTTGAAATCTTAGACAGTCTGTTTAGTACAGTGCAGGCTGTGTGATTCTTTTGGAGCTGACTGTCTTTGTCCAAAGGCTGATTAGGAGTAAACCTCAAGCTCATAATGAATTTATGAATTTGCCACCATAATAGGTCAAACTTTTACATCTCTGTTTGTTATGCTATTACAGCTTGCTACAAATAACAAATTTGGAACAATACTTGCACAAATTTTCCCTACATGTCAAAGGTCCCCTTTGTATTGCAGTGAAACAGAAAATAACCCTAGCTCGAGAAAAAGCTAAGCAAATAACAGAACAACTGGAAGAAGCAAAAAGAAAATTGGAAATTGAGGTAGGATAGCAATTATTATGTGGGGTTAATTGATAGAAGCAATTTACAAAGATATGTTTGTGTTAGTACATTGACTTCATGTGTCATTGCACATTTGCTGGAAATGATTTTTCAAATCACATCTAAGCTTCTACCTGTATTGTGGAATTCCAAACTAGTTTTATTTTAGACATGGAACTGATTTGATTAGGAATGTTCTATTGCTCCTATATTTGATTTCTGAATTCTGTATAGACAATTCAGCATTATTGCAGATTTTGTTCCATCTCCAATATCACCAAAGCACATGAAAAAATTATAATGCAAAGAAAAAAATCGCACATTTAAAAATTCTGCAGAAAATCTTGGGAAAATGCACAGTCTTAATATTGTTATATACATCTTTGTATCATGATTCTTTTTGAAAGGTTGCCTTGCCAGTGTGCAGGACACACTGAATCAGATATACATACACTGTTGTTGTCATGTACAACAATGGAATGTCACTGCAAAAAAAGGCAAATACTACTTTGGGCTGCATTAATAGAAGTATCACGTCCAAATCATGTGATACTTCCTTCTACTGAGCACTGGTTAGGCCTGTGCCCAATTCTGGGCACCACAGTTTAAGCAAGGTGCAAACATTCAGGAACAAGTTCAGAGGAGGCCAGCAAAGATGATCAAGGGACTGGGAACAAAAGCCAGTGAAAAAAGATTGAAATAACAGGTGGTTAGCCTTGAGAAGACAAAACTAGGGGAAGATATGATAGCACTCTTCAAGGATTTGAAAGTTTGTCAGGAGGACTAGAATCTCTTCTTGATCACAGAATACAGAATGCAGAATCATGTGCTCAAGTTACAGGAAGTCAGATTCCAGCTGAACATTAGGAAAACATCCTGACTTGGAAGCAATGCAACAATGGGACCAATTACCTTCCAAAGTTGCAAGCTCTCACACCCAGGAGACATTCAAGATGCAGCTGGACAGCCATCTGTTAGGGATGCTTTAACTTAGTGTCCTGCATTCAGCAGACAGTTGGCCCCTATGGCCTTATAGTATGATACCTGTACACATTGATTTATAAAGTGGGGAAGATACAAATGAATTGAAAGTCACTGCAAACGGTATGTTCAGTTTGTGGAATTAATTTTAGGATTCTTCCTTGTTCAGCTGTAATTTAGGAAAATAGCATTGAAGAGAAGAGTGAAGCAAAAGAACTATTAAGACACATAATGAAGGACTTTCTTATTTTTAGTTTGCATTGGCATTCATTTCTGTCCCTAGCTACATCTGGACATAATGTTCAACTGTGACAAGAAATGAGATGCAGGAAGCCACAAGGAATTTGGAAGCATTTGCTTCCATTTTAAATTAACTGTATTTTATTGTGTCACCCAAACTTGGTAAACTATGGTTAATATTAACCCTGACTTATTAAAAACAGACCAACTTTAAATTGGTTAGGAAATTTGCCCTGCACCCAGAAGAATGCAACAATTTTAGTCCAGTGGCAAAACATCCTCTTCTTAGGCCAGGTTCTTCAGTGGGTTGTGACCAACCAGCTCTAGGCACTCTTGGATGAGCCTGATTTTCTAGATCCATTTAAACCTTGTCCCCCATGATGTTTGACATCATGTTTACCTGAAACCACTGAGTCTTCAGCAGGTGTTACACCAGTGCCTGGCTGCTACAATGCACTGGATGAGAACTAACAAGCTCAATCCAGACAAGACTGAGATGTTGTTAATAGGCAGTTGTTCTGACTAGATGAAGGGAATTCAGACCATTCTAAATGGTGTGGCACTCCCCTTGAAGGGCAGTTCAAAGCTTGGTGGAGCTTCTTGAGCCATCTTTGTCACCTGAAGTGCACGTGGCTTCAGTGATTGAGTGCCTTCTGCTAGCTTCAGCTGAAGGTTCAATTACACTATGCTCTGGTAAACTCTAAGTTAGATTGCTACAAGACACTCTATGTGGGGCAGCCCTTGAAGACTGTTCAGAAGCTTCAGCTTGTGCAGTATGCAACAGCTAGATTAATAGTAGGATCAGACAGTCAGAACATATAACACCAACTCTGGTCTGTTTGCACTGACTTCCTATATGCTTATAAACCCAATTCAAGGTGCTGGATTTAACCTATAAATCCTACATGGCTTGGGAGTACAATACCAGATGGAAGGCATGTCCCAACTGCAGTTTACCTGAGCACTACAAATAAGAACTAGTTTATGGAACTAGCTTCCCAATGAAGCCCATCTGGCACCAACTTTAATATCCTTCCAGTACCAGGTTAAGGCTATCCTCTACCACAGGGCACTCAATTTTCTGGAGCTTTCTTGACTACTTAAACAGGTGTTATGATTTAATTTATAGGCTATGGCAATCTTTTATACGCATCTTAGATTGGCTTTAATTTTTTGTATGGTACCCCTTTATGCTGATTTTAATGTTGCTTATATTTTATATTGTATTTTAATGGGTTGTTGTAAAGACAAGAAACAGGAAAAATATACAGTCATGAAGTTTTGTCCAAGAGAAAATTCTCAGGCTTGCTAGATAGGTTGAAAGAAAAGTGCCCTTTCTATTTTTCCTCTCTCCTTTCTGTAGTACCTAGTAGCTCAGAAAAGTATAGAAAGGGTTTAGGGGACTGAGAATAATCAGGGAAATACTAAAAACTGAGAGGAGTGCATCCTACAGTGAGGTGAAACTTCATGCAAAAGTGAGCTGGAGTCTCATGAGAGCAGCACACTCACCACCCTGTTTGCGGGGGGCTGGGTCGTCAATACTTTGCTTTCCAAGAGACAGCTTGCCAAAGGACAACTAAGTCTGTACAACGTTATCTGCATGCAGTCTTGCGTGGCCAATGCTCATGGTTCTTGCCTACTGTACTTTGACAGCCAACGTTACCAGGACATTGGCCAGGCAAGACTCCACATTTAGGGCAGTCATAGGTTTGCAGTTGCAAAGGCCTGTGGGGTGGGGGTGGGGGCAGGATAAGCCAAAAAGGAAAAAGACCCACTTAGTGTCAGTGGAGTGGCTGTCACTGGTAGCAGTGTGGGGCTCCAAAAATGACGTGAATGGTATAAATTCATGCAATGGCACGCATTTTGTTTTTGCTTGTGAAGCTAATTTATGACAATCGTAACTCTTTTTGTACACTGCTAATTCGCTTTTGACCCACTCTGATTAACTGTTTTGGATTCCATGGTGGATACAGAAGGTCACAAAAGTGGGGAACAAAGACTGTGACTTAATAATGAGGGAAGCTAGAAAAGCATTCCTGACCCAATTATAGCCTTAACCCCACAGTATTAATTACATGAAGGTCAATGCCTATTAACCTCTTTGGTTAGTCTCAAACTTTTTTTTAAATTAAGTACCTAGAAGCACAGGAAAAGCCAGTGTGGATTATATTCTTTGGATGAAATAAATACTGAACATTTCAAGATAGTCTCCATTTATTAAGTTTTTTAGTTGAAAAACGTAATGTCATGTTACTATTTTGAAATAATTTTAGCTGCAGGAAACCCTACCTTAAATTCCTTTCCTAAATTTTTCTGAAGATGTATTTCTACATCCTCATGTGTACAGGAACTTAAACAATTTCATGTCTCTAAATTTAGGGGCACAGAGAAAAACGCTTATGTGGCTGAACTTTAGAGTTCAAAGATGGTTTGACATCTATTTCACAGAGACTGCTTGTGGTCAAGGAAATGCTCCCAAGAAATATAAATTTTTGAGTGTTCTGAAAAACTAGGTAGCATGTAATTAGAACTTGAACGATAGCATTTTTCCTTTCAAGGCTTAATGCTTACTTTTCAAAAATACTGTTTTACAGAACATTTTGTGTAGGTAGTTCAGGTGCAAGCCTATACTGAAATTCTCCTTCATGATTTGCTAGGTCAGTGTAAGCTCCATCACTTCTTGGCTAACATGCCCCATTTCTTATGTTGGACATCAAAAAAAAAAAAAGTTACTTCCACAACAGCCAGCATAGCAGTGGGGTGCATTGGCTGTAAGACAGAGCACCCTGCCTCTTTTAAGCCAGTGCATTTCTTTTCTGAGTCTCCTATATGTGAGTCTTCTTGGGTGCAGGGAGGGGCATCCATTGTGCCTAACAAAACTTTGCTGCAAGAGCCATGGAAGACACAGACAGACAGCTTGATCTTCCAAGGCGCTTAGTTTCCAGGACATAGACTGTCTCCTGCAGAAAAACTTGCTTTGTCTCCACTTTGTGCTGAACAGTCGTGGTGCCTCAGAAGGAGTAATACTAGCATTCTTCTTTGGGTCATGCCGCTTTTCTTCAGTTGAGCAACAGAAGAGAGGAGCACAAGTGAGCCAAATCAAGGTGTGGGGAGCTGTGTCCATTTTATTGTAATTGCACTTTAAGATGCAAACAGGACTTTTGCCAGGCTGAGCACCTTTGGCTATTCTGAGAACTAAGGCAGTGAAGCCCCACATCTTTCAGTATGGCTAAATTAGGGACCATCACCAAATCTGGAAAATATGTAAGATACAGAGAAAGATGAATTCTTAACCCAGTTTATTTTTATTTATTTATTTAGGAGGCTTCTATGCCGCCCCATTCGCCGAAGCCTCAGGGTGGCTCACAATAATAAATTAATCTCATAAACTCATTAACTATAATATAATATTTGCACTTATTCAGTTTTAATAGAAAGGACTATTCAATAAACTTCAGTTCTTCTTAAAAAGAACTAACATGTTTTTTATTGATTTATGGGTTTCTGCTATTTGGCAGTTTGTATTTCCTATACTGCTGAAAAAAGTAATGGAAGGGGAAGAAGAAAACCTTCCTGTAATATAATTGTTTTAGCTTGGAAGAGCTTGTGCCTTTGATCCTTTGCCCATAGTCAGGTGGGAAGCAGGGTCCCAGAGATAATACAGTGCCCCAAGGGTGGCATTAATGTTCAGAAGTACTCAACTGTAGATTCCCCATTATTTTACCTTCTAATGTTGACATTGAGAATGCACATTTGTATCAGTGAGGGGGAAACTTCAGCTTGAGGTTTCTGTCTGTTTCTTATTTCCCCCACAAATCGAACAAGGCATGTACAACCTATTGTACCACAACATTTACCCTGCATTTATTTGACAACAAATCCTCTTCTGTGACTTGTCCTCCTTGCTTATATGTTCCTTTCTGAAATCTAGCAACAGAGCATAAGTAACTAAATCCAGAGTAATGGGTAACTAAATCATACAAATATAGCCTGCATCACATTTGAATTCCATAATACAGTAAAAGCAGTAAAGCATATTAGTTCTGAAGATGTTTCAAATCCCCACATTGACAAGGTTATGCTGTAGTCTATTAGGAAAAAGCATATCCAGTTTTGTTTTTAAATATACATAGGACTATTCATTTGTAAAATCCTGCATAACAAATGTCTATGTTTAAAAGCACCAGCTGTATTCAACTTCAATAACCATTTTGGGGATGTCATTGTAGGTTCATTTGCTATATGAAAAGTTCTTTAATGTGGAGATGCTGAAGAAGCAAGAAGAAAGCTTAGAAAAACAGAAAGCTGAATTATTAAATCAGAGGAGTATCCTGCTTGAAAGCATTGTATGTTTCTGGTGAGAGTGTTTTAGATCAGGAGTTTTCAAGCCTGTTTTTAGCCCAAACATGCATTAAGGGATTCACTTTATAATTTTTACCATATATTTGTGCTGCCATGAGCCATTTTGGTTTATGCTGCAGTCCAGTAGTAGTAAAACTTTATTTAGCACATGGAAGACCTGCAAAGGTTACAGTCTGCACATTGGAAGGGGTGAGTTGGGTCTCATAGGAAGGGTGCAGAGTGTGAGCCATTTATCATTAGGGAAGAAACAAGATTCAAAGCAAGGAGATGGTTTCTGCAATTTTAGCAATGTAATCCTATATATATCAGAAGTAGTCCTAAGTAAATGCATATAGGATTGTAGCCTGCTTATAAATATGTACATATCAAATTTTATTGTATCATTAACAGAAATTGAGAAATGGCTTGGAAGACTGAGGAAGGGTTATAGCTCTTTCTTGAGCCAATGAAGTAAAATATTAATAAATCTGTTAGGAAATAATGGAATATGTAGTTCAGAAGTTTGTTTTTATTTTATATTGCATCCATACCCACATGAATGTATGCTAAACATGTAGACAAAGAAATTGTTCATGAACTTGGTACAATGCTAAACCATAATGAAAAACTGAAATAAAAGATGGTTCATCTGGATCATAAGATGCCGAAGATAAATTAAAGAATTTGGGGATTTAAAAAAGGTATATAATAAGCCACTGTTTATTCCACTGATTTCAACAATACATTCTGTTTACAATGTATGGCATGGGTTGGTGATCCATTCATTTTCATAACACGTTCAGTCCAGTGTTTACATAATCTATGTTGATGAAGTTGAATGTCATTATGTTTATGAATGTTCATGAATGATTTTGGTGAATGGAGCTGTGTTTATCCTACCAGTGATAAGGAACATCAATATATTAATTCATATCAATTCTTCTGAATCACTGGGACTTATTTCCAAACAAATATGGTTAGGACTATGTACTATGAAGCAGTGATTTGTCCAATGTTCATAGCAAGACCATATTTAAAGTTTACTTCAGTTCACAAATACTGTATAGGCAGATAATTTTTACCATATGAAAGTTCTGTTTTGTCATACCAGTGTGGTATGCTTAGTATAATTGAACATGCATAGTTGGGACAGTTCTTCAAACCATAAAGCTTGTATTGACTGCTTTTTCTGTTTCTTTAAAAAAAAATCTTTCCTGCTGCTTTAACAAAGTTTTCTCTTGTACGCAGAATCCTTTAAAAATTATTTTATTCCATTATTAGACGGATTTAAAGAAAAAAATTGCCTTAGAGGATGAGACATTTTTGAAGGAAATTACAGACTTCAACAATGAATATGGGTTAACATGCAATAGGGAGCTTTTAATTAAAAAAAGAGTCAAGGCTGAAATATGTGAATTAGAAGAAAAAGAAAATGTTTTGAGAAATGGTATGTCTTGAATTTAATTATTTTATCTTAGATTATCTAAGACTATAAATGGCTTTACTATAGCCCCGTGACACTACAATTCTACAATTTTCTTCCAAGCTGAAAAGGACTATTAAATTGTAAGGTAATGATTTGCCTAGAGTGAAAAACTGCATACTATAGTGGAGCATCAAGCATGTTCCTCATTGGTTGAAGGGAACATTAACAGTAAAATGTGGTACTTTAACTAAGACATTAATACTGTTGGACATGATAGGAGGTTGGACCTAAGGCTTTTACCAGTTTTTACCGTCCAATCCATAAGTTGCTACTGCAAGGTGGAAAGAATAATAATTGTCTTCTGTATGTTTAAATATCAGGCAAAGTCCATAGTTATTGCAAGCTATTTTTAACTCTGACTAACATAAATAACATAAGTAAAAGTGTTGTTGTTGTTATTTTACATGTATGGGATGACTTTCTCAGGAAAAGACCCAAGATGTTTTGTAACATGGCATGTAGTATCAGTGAATTTCAATCCCATGAGTTACAATCCACAAACCTAGCTTTCAGAGCTTTTGTTAAAAAACAAAAAACAAAACCACACATAATTGTATGTAATAGTCTTACTTTTTCATGTTCAGAACCTCAGCTTAGTAGATTTCTGCATAGGTTCCATAGTCAGTAGAAATGTCAAGTTTATCATCCCTTAGTATCTTTCTCACTCACTTAACTTCCTTCACCACTGAACAGTGAGCATTGACAGTGACAGAGATGGTGGCTGCAGCTGCAGATGGAACTGGTGGAACAGCAGCAAAAGCAAACTGCTGTGATCATGGTAGCTGTTGGGCTGGCAGAAGCACAGGGCAGCTGCAGAAAGAAAATTCCAGTAAATGTCTGCCAGTGTATTAAATATCTGTGACACTTTAGGATTACAACACTGGAAAAGCATCATCTTCTGTGTATCCATATCTTGTCAACTTGCTAAACTTATCTGGACTCTTGGATTTTTAAGGTGATTCCTGTGATGAACATAGGCAGTCATTTAGAGGGTGATGGTAGGGTAAAAAGAAAATAATTTGTTCCTCTTAGCACAGGCAAATACTGGCATAGCTGTATCAGTCCCAGTTGTGAGCATCACATAATAAAAGTTTGTGTATCATTGTAGGGAGAAGCTACATGTTGGCTATTCAACTTTAGTCATGGTTATGCTGGTTGGAGGCTTATTGGATGTGCGGTCCAACACATTGTGATATTGCATTATTTCCAGAGAAAACAGTCAAATTATAAATGACTGGAAGTAGCAAATACCAAAGTTTAAAAGTAGATGAGTAGATTTTGTTTTGTACTTTGGCAACTACAATCCATAGGTGCTTCTCTTAAGAACCCTATCACAGAATTATAGACACTGTAATTCTTATCCTACAAACCTTTATTTCAAGTTTAATAGCCAAGACTACCTTCTGCTTTTGTTATTTAGACACACACAATGTCAGTTTGCTACTGTACAAGAACATGTGGATTGCTTACCAGAGCTTCCAACAATACATGATTTTTTTGTTTTTGTTTCCTGCATTGTGTTTAAAAAGCCACAGTTTGCCGGGGGCACAAATGCGACTTATTGATTTGTAGTAACACATTTCACCTGTTGATTTTACCTGGCCTTTATAGTACAAGGTACTCAACAGTTCAAAATGAAATGATGAGAAGCAGCAGTACTTAACCCAACATTGCAAAAAGTTCAGTCTGCTTTTTACTAAAAATATAGTCACTCATGAACTACAATAGTGTGTACTGTTACCACCATACAAATAACGTTAGTTCTGCTTGCATTTGTTGCTTTCGTAGCTCTTTTGAAAAATACATTGAATAGATTTCTTTTCTTGTTAATAAATATCCTATTTTATTAATTTAAATAGCACTTTTTCTTTACAATATAAATAATCATTTATTACTTAAATGTATATTCTACCTTCACATGGAAATGGAACCCAAGGTGGCTAACATGGTGAGCAATATTTCTGTAAAGTAAATAAATAATGAGTATCTAAGTTACTAAGAAGTCATTCTATATGTGATTATTAGGTGCAGCATACTGGATAATTTCTTTCATTGCTGAATTTTATAAGGTTTATATATGTAATTCTTTTAAGATACCCTCAGACACTGTGTAATAAAGTATGGAGTTATGTAGTAAAGAATAAATCTTTAATGGACTCTAACTCTAAAATTATTGCTTTCTTAGAAATAGAGTCAATGGAGCATGAAAATGCTCAATTAGAAATATTTCAACTGCAGAAGAATGAATTAAAGCAGGATTTATTTACTCTCCAGAGAAAACTCAAAGGTATTTCATTTATTTGCTCATTTGATTTGATGTTAAGCATGGTTTGAGAAATATATTTGATAAATGATTCTGGACCAGAACACATTGAATCACAGATAAGGTAGTATCATGTATAGAATTCTATTAACAGAAATCCTGTCAGTTTCATATGCTATGTTAAACAGTTTCCATAATTATTCATGCTTCAAAATGCCAGGCATGGGCCTTAACAGACATGTTATTTTAGGCAATATGTATATGGTAAGTAATTCTTGCTTCACTGCCTTGGAGCTGAATGTCTGTCGGTGATGTACCTAAGTCTGATCACTAGCAGAAGCATAAGGTCAATGCAAGTGCAGCAACCATTCCACATTACAAGTACCCAACTGGTAAGCAGCACCATACTGTTCTTTTGAATTCTAATCTTTAGTATTAAAATATTTGATATATGATCATATGACATAAGATCAAAGAGTTTTGTAAGGTTAACCCTGTGTTAAATCCAGCTGGAGAATATCGTGAACTATATTCCAAGATCTTCACCATAACAATAAGGTACTCTATTTTTTAATGTCGTCATAAAGCGACTGATAATCATAGGAGATTACCTTATCTTGAGTAAGACCATGCATCCTTCTAGCTCAGCCTTATGCACACTGAGTGACAGTGATTCTTCAGGATTTCAGATAATAATGTTTCCCAGCCCTACCTACAGATGCCAACCACTGCATCTGGAACCTTTTGCATGCAAAGCACCCATTTTATTATTGAGCTGTAAACTTCGTTGAAATATAAAATAATAATAATAATATCAAGTAAACAGGGTATCATTTCTTTTCTTTTTTTCTTTAGATATTGAAGAAGAATTCAGGGAAGCTAAATATATTACAAAACAGTTAGAAACAGAAAAAATCAATATTTCAGAAAAACCACAGACTGATCCAGAATATAAAAGGTAAAGGGACTCTGTGATAATACTTTGATCTATTTATATGGCAATGACTTAGGGATTTTTAAGTATTTTGCAGTAAATAAATAAGTAAAACAATAAATTTATTTTCATGTTTAACTATTCCTAATCACTTCTAATAACCACATGAATCTAGCTAGGTGTGGTGCACACTTACATGCAGGGGAGGGTTGTCAGTCCTGTGTCAGGGAGACTCTTTATCCATACAAAAAAAGATGCAGTAGCTAAGGAGTCCTGCTGGTGCAGGAGTCACCAGCCTCCACTGCTTACGATTTATGTGGCAGTGTATAGTGTGGGAAGCACCAGGCACGACAAATTCTAAAACCAAACTGGATACAGGCAGTCCCTGAGTGATGAATGTCCCAGTTACAAACATCCCATACTTAGGAACAAACTGCCATAAAACCTATTCCATGGTTTAAAAAAAAATTACCATGGAAAATTGTCATTAGCATAAAGAGAGGGGAAACAGGAGAATAGATGGGAGGCCTCCAAAGCAGGCCTTCCTGCCCCACACATCTGGAAAGGGAAATGCCTTTGGCATGTTCTTGCTGCAAAGGGGAGGCACTGGTGAATGCGGGGTGTGGAGGGGTCGCTACAGATAGTCACAGTTTTTCCACTTTATGGGTGGGGGGTCCTGCACCTCTAACCTACACAAATGTGGAGGGCTGACTACATGTGATTCAACTTGGATAAAGATTCTCAGGAATGGAACTGATTTGTAACCTGGGGACTGTCTGAACTCTAACAATGTGGCCCAACTTATACATTTCTAGTTAGAAGTTAGCCTCATGAATTTAATGAGGCTTTTTCTTAAGTATGGTGGCCTTTGTGGAATCTTTGTGGGTCTCCTCTCCAATGAATTAACATTTTCAACAGAGTAATACACAGGAAATTGTCCAAACATCCTTTTCTCACTTCACATGGAACTGAAGTATAAACTGTACCCTTAAATGAAATGTATTTGGCTTCAGAATTTGTGTAGAAGCAAAACTGTATAGATGACAGATACATCAAAGTGGGATTCTAAATGCTGGCACCAGTTGCAGGTCCGTAAGCTGATGTGGTGCAACACACTACAACTTGCTTTTGCATTATTTATTCTATTATGGTACATTAGCTTTTCTGATGTATGAGGTTGTCATCTTCCTTCTAAATAATACACTTCTCCTGGAGTATCTTCCTATTGCAGTGTCATTTAACATTCAGTATGGCATAATTAGAAAAGTGGTGTTTTCCTTTTAAGTGCAAAAGTGCTGAGGACCAAGGTTAGGTACCATCCTTGGATTTTCAACTGACTTATTTGAATAAGTGTAGTATTTAAGCAGAAGTAAGATATGATAAAGATTAAAGATGTTTAAAAGGAACTGTTGAGATATTTGTATGAGAAGTTTAACATGACATACTGAGTTTTTTCAAATTATGCAAAATAGTTAAAGGGATGGTCCTGAGCAATCCTGTGTCCATTAGACAGCATTTTGATGGCCATACTCAGATTCCCAACTACAAGGTTGGAAAATCAATCATCAGTGTCTCAGCCTCCTTCCCTCTGCTCTGAAGCACTGCACTTAAGGCAGTTGAAGTTGCTTGTCCTTGTGCTTTGCAGAGTGAGAGAAGCATGAAGGCAACCTGAGAAACCAGATAAGTCCTTGGAGAAATCACGTGCTAGTTAATGTGAAAGGATACAAATCATGCAGTACAGATCTAGTGCCCTGTCACTTAAATCAATGTAGACACTTTGGGAATGTTGGGATTTTAAAATTTGACCCTACTTCAAAGGCACGTTTAGAGGAGTGCACCTTGCACATTAGTCAAGATGTTATACATGTACGTAGCATAGTCCCATCCTACCCCCATCCTGCACCCCTTCACCTTTGCATGTGTCACCAGAGCAAGTGTTGGCAAGGGAAGCAGGGGGCAGGGGGCTACTCCAGAGAGCCCCACTGGTTGTTCTCTCACTGCAGCATATGCCATGGCAGGGGAGCAGTAGTCACAGCTCTCTAGAGCAACCACTGGAGAAAGTGGGGCTACTGTGGAGTGGACACACCTCATGGAGGCAGGGCGAGCAGTGCAGTTTGCCATTGTTTCCACCCCACATCCAACCTCACCCTGCCTCATGGACAGCCTATCCTGATTCAGAGAATCTTTTCTCTGAAGTGGGCCTTACAAGCAGCCATACTTTGTATCCAAAACTAAGCCTTGTAAAATTCATGCAACATCTCTTGAAATGAAGGAATTAGTCTTAAAAACAAACATGCCAAAAATCACTAAAACTTTTTAGCTTTGATTACTTTTTGCTGTATAGCTCTTGTTTCCATGAGAAACAGGATTTCAGCTGATAGTTCAAAATAAGCTGTTTTGCATTCTGTATCTCTTAACACTGAACAAAGGAAACATAATGTCAATAGGTCCAACAGGAAGACTATTCAGCAGGAAAATGACACACTTCCATATGAATTCATTGACTGATTAAATTTTCAATGGTTAATTATTTGTATAAAGACAATACACACAGTAGAATCTTGTTAAGGTAGTTTTTTGTTATTAAGGTCCAACAAAAAGAACTAATTTAATATGGCATTGCTTAGTTTAATTTTAAAGTGTTGCTAATGGAACCACCTGAGCAGTATAAGATGCATTTTGACTGCAATGTACCCTAGAAAGATGGAAGTGAAATATCCTATGGGATGTTGCATCTTGAAAACCTTTACAATTTGAGTTGTGGATAAAATTTTGCACCATTTCTTACACTGGCCTCATCTGACAGGTTTAATTTGATTGCCAGTGGCTTCCCCAGATTAACTCAAAATGAATAAAAAACAATATATTTAGAGGTGCTTTATTCAGTTATCCCTTTAATTCTTGTAACAATTCAGTAAATAAGGTTTCTCCCCATGTTAGGAGATAGGAAATTGTATTTGAGGAATTATGGTATTTGCCCTGGTGAATACCTAACCTCCAGGATAAGAAAACAAAGGCTGAAGCTTAGAGCTCCCAAGGGAAGCAGTGGTAGAGGTGCAATTTTCATAACTCTGGAGCTGCTCTTAAGAGATGTTTCTGCTGGTTTTGTTTCTTCTGGTCTAAATTCCTTTTTCTCAGTTAAAGTGATGTCAGATGAAAAGCTTCCTTTGGGCTTTGTGTTATATATCATTTATTACTGATACCTCTTGGGCATAATCAGCAAACTCTCAAACAGAATTAAATCAGAATACTGGGATTTAGGTTGTTTATGTAGTGTCTTTGAAGTCAATGAGGCTAAATTTGTTTGATTCAACTATGATCATTATTTAGACTAAAGGTGGGCAACTCATGGCCCTCTAGAAGTTTTGGCCTACAAAGCTCATTAGGTCTAGCCAGCATCATAGGGCTGCAAATTGCTTATGCCCAATCTAGGTAATGTCTGTCATTTATTAAACAAAAATTGTTCATTGCCACTAGAATTAAATTCTAAAGTCCTCCAGGTATTATTTTGCTTCCTAGCCAATGCGTGTTCTTGCTTTCAGTTGGCACATAATGGATAATACAAAACCAGAGCAGAGCCTGGTCAGCACACACAATCTGTATATTGTGAATCTGCTAATCACAATTTAAAACATAAAAAGGTACCACTACTGGTCCTTGCCTTCCAGTTTGCAGAGTACTCAAGGAAGGGTGATCAAATCAAACTGGAGCTGTCTAGGGAAATCTAATACAAGTTGTTGATCTGGCATATTATATATGCAATATGTGTTATCGAGTTCTAAGCTAGAGCCCCACCTTGTCTTGTTTGGTAACAAAATGAAAAGAAATTAGAAATGTCACACCATCTGGAAGACAGAAAAGTTGTTATTGAAGATCTGACAGCTTAAAAAGCTTTTGAATTAACAATGATGCAGCTTTGTTGTCATCTACAGGAATCTTCCTAGGATCTGACTCCGCTGGCTGAGGCCTTTCCACTCCAGCTACTTTTTTGTGTATTATAGAACCAAGATGCAACCTTGGTCTTGAAATAGGCATGCTCATTAAAACTAAATGACCAATTGAAAGGTACTGGCCAGTTTTAATGGAAAGGTTTAGGCCACAGTTCTATGTATTAATTCCATTAAAACTAGGCAAACTTTCCAGTGCATGACCAGGAACCAAAAAAAACAAAAACAAAAAAACTTTAACAGAATTCCTAAAATAAAATCTGCATTTATTCTGCTCTTTCCCCATTTATATTAATAAGGGACAAATTATTTATTAAATACAAAAGAGAAATGATCCCTAAAAATGCCATCAACAGAATGTGGCTGGGTAGTAAGATGGTTTCAGTATTAGCAGACATATTCCAAAATTGCTTTCAGAGTAGCATCAGTTTTGGAAAGTTAGGAGTAACTTCTGAGGATCAGAGGCTTTGAAGTGTCCAGCTATTCTGAAAGCAATAGCAACAAAATGCACTCCAGTGATAGCAAAGATCCACAGAGCCCTAGAACGAGAACGTAGTATGCTTTGAAGAAAGGCCATTACCCTACTGGATTATACGATCATATGCCAAGACAAAATACTACCTTATTTCCTGGCCTAAAAAATCAATTGTGGAATCTCACTGTATTCTCAGTGAGCTAGTCACTAACTTCAGATTGCTTTAACAACATACATAGCTTCAAGGTGCTAAATATAAAAGTCAAAGGAAAGCGGGTCATAAAGTAGAGCTTTTCTCTAAGAAAAGTTGCATTTATTGGATCTTAAAAGAGTTAAATAAAGAAGACTGTTCTAGTTACCTGCTACCTAAATCTTTAGTACTATTGTGTTTCCATTTAACTTGTCTCCAGCGAATAAAGGATGTGCCAGTCTAAATTAGCGGTTTCCTTTTGCCAGTGTCTATTTGAAACACCTTTAGTGTGATCTGATTTGCCTTATCTGTCCTATAATAAGCATAAATTATGCTGTACAGTGCATTAAGTACTTCATATGTTTAAAACTATCTGAGGCAGTGTGCCAGTGTACACTAGTTGCTGGAGAAC